TCATTTATGTTAACGTAAAAATTAATAATTTTGTACCAAAAGAACCTTAGAAAACTTACCTAACCTTATTTTAACAAGCGCAATTTAATTTAGCCTAATCCAACTAAATATATTTTAGATAAGTTTACAATAATTTAATAATAAACAAACACAATGAAACATATTTTTTTTCGTTAGGTTCAGAATGATTTTTGTGAAATTGTTGCATACATAAATTTTCGTTTGCTTTATTCGGCAAGAAAAGCGTTGCTGTTTAAGCCAAAATCGCAAGTTTTACCTATTCGACACGACATATATAATGTGATATTTGTATACAGTATAAAATGAAAACCTGAGGAGGCTGGAATCTGCCGGCGGGCTATGACTGAGACTGGGCCCCACGGCCCCACACCCACACCTCGGCGAGTACTAACTACCCACACCACCTCAACCCCACCACTTATTAGCATCACATCCTCCACCACCTTGGTGCTGGTGAATAGCTAACGCCGGCAGTGTCATCATGCGGTACAGTGTTGATATATGACTGTGGAATAATAAACAGGTTGGTGTACCAACCGACAAGATCAGGAGTGTAGCGTCTTATGTTGTATCCTTCTATTCTGCTCTCTGACTTCCTACTGTGGTAAAAATGTGTATCCGTTCACCTGCCTTAACCGCATCGTTACGTTTTAAAAACAGCTGTCCCAACTGCTTCAGTGGTGATGATGTCGCTGTTGTTGTCGTTATGGTGTACTCACCTAATTGTGGTTGCAGGGGTCGAGAGCCAGCTCCTGGCCCCGCCTCTTCACTGATCGCTACTAGGTCCTCTTTCTCTGCTTCCTGAGCTTTGTCATACCTCATCTTAAAGCTATGTATGGTTCCTGCCTCCACTACATCGCTTGCTAGGCTATTCCACTCCCTGACGACTCTGTGCCTGAAGTAGTACTTCCTAACATCCTGTGACTCGTCTGAGTCTTCAGCTTCCAATTGTGACCCCTTGTTTCTGTGTTCCCTATCTGGAACATCCTGTCTCTGTCCACCTTGTCTATTTCACGCATTATTTTGTATGTTTTTATCATGTCTCCCCTGACCCTCCTGTCCTCCGGTGTCGTCAGACCGATTCCCCTCAGCCTCTCTTCGTAGGACATTCCCCTGAACTCCGAAACTAGCCTTGTTGTAAACCTTTGTACTTTGTCTAATTTCTTGACGTGTTTCACCAGGTGTGGGTTCCAAACTGGTGCTGCATACTCCAGTATGGGCCTGATGTACACAGTGTATAGTGTCTTGAACGAGTCCTTACTAAGGTATCGGAACGCTGTTCTCAGGTTTGCAGGCGCCCATATGCTGCAGCAGTTATCTGGTTGATGTGTGCCTTCGGAGACGTGCTCAGTGTTATGGTCACCCCAAGATCTTTCTCCTTGAGTGAGGTTTGCAGCCTTTGTCCACGTAGCCTATACTCTGTCTGCGGTCTTCTTTGCCCTTCCCCAGTCTTCATGACTTTGCATTTGGCAGGGTTGAATTCGAGAAGCCAGTTGCTGGACCACGTGTCCAGCACGTAGTTGTTGCTATGGTGATGGTGTTACTGTTGCAGTAGCTATAAGCAAATGTTATGTACTAATACATTATCTTTTATAATCGTGCACTGTATTTGTAAATAGAGTTTGTAACGCTAATAGCGGAAGTGTGCTGGAAGGTGTTGTGGACTACTCATGATCCTCAGGAAGCTCGTGGGTGAAGCAGCGTGTGTTATGTACACTACATCAAGAATACTTTAATAACTAAACGAGGAAGTACAGGAACTCTAATTGTATTTCCACAGAGATATGAACCATGGTGTATATATACCGCCGTTCATATCTCGTATCGTATTTTTATTAATACAACGGTCGTTTCCCATCGAGACAGGGTGACCCGACGAAGAAGAAACACTTTCATCATCATTTACCACATCACTGTCTTGCCAGAGGCGTGTCTACACTGCAGTTAAAAAACGGCAACATCAACACTCCTCCTTGAGAGTGCAGACACTGTACTTCCCACCTCCAGGACTCTAGTCCAGCTAACCGGTTTCCCTAAATCCCTTCATCAATGTCACGTTGCTCACATTCCAACAGTATTTCAAGTCATATAAACCATTTGCCTCTATTCGCTCCTATCTTACACGCTGACCAGGCTTGCTGGGAGTCTAAGCCCCTCACACACAAAACCTTTTTTACCCCCTCCCTCCAACCTTTCCTAGGACGACCCCTACCCCTTCTTCCTTCCACTGCAGATTTATACGCCCTCCAAGTCATTCTGTTTTGTTACATCCTCTCTACATGTCCGAACCACTCAACAACCTCTCCTCAACCCTCTGGATAATACTTTTAGAAACCCCGCAATTCCTAATCTCCAAGCTGCGGATTCTCTGCATAATATTCACACACACATTGCCCTCAGATACGACATCTCCACTGCCTCCAGCCTTCTCCTTGTTGCAACATTCACCATCCATGCTTCATTCCTATATAAGGGTGTTAGTACTACTACACTCTCACACATTCCCCTCTGCTTCCTTGGATAAGGTCCTTTTTCTCCACAGACTCTTCAGTGCACCACTCGCTTTTTCCCCCTTGTTAATTCTATGGCCACCTCGTCTTTCATAGATCCATTTGCTGACAAGTCAACTTGACTTTTGCCAAAAATTGATGGACTGAACACATTGACTCCAGTCTGAGGGACTGATTACCTCAAACTCCTCATCTTCTACCTTTCTCTGCAATGGACTAAAGAAGCCGTTTGGTGGGGAAGCGTTTCCAGAATAAAGACACTCAAATGTTGCACAAGTGTCTCATTTATCATCATACGAAACGTAGAGATATTATGAAGTACTTCTGGAGTTTCAGGGTGGTTTGTAAGTGGGAAGAGTTGGATGAGTAAGTGGTGGGATCAGATTCAACATATAGCTTCGGGAGTAGCTACAAGATCCACGAGACAGTAGTGCAATGAAAGGAGTTTAAATGGGAAATATAGTTAGGAGCTACAACTCTACCACCGCGAACACAGCTGTACTCACTTCTTTCTGGTTGCAGAGGTCGTTTCTCAGTTCTTAGTCTCGCTCCTTAACTTACTGTTGCCTCGTTTACTCCTAGCTTCGTTATCTCTCTCATGTCCTTTTTAAAAGCTATGTTTTGAGCTAGCGTCCACCACTTCTTCATCCAGGTTATTCCAGTTCCTGTCCATCCTGAATTGAAGAAATATTTCTTGTACATCTCTTTGACTCGATCGTTTCCTTAGCTTTCAACGGTTCTTTCTTATAACCTTTTTTTTTTTTTTACCTCTCGAACAGTCTATCTCTATCTACACTGCCAGGTCCTCTTTAGTGTGTTGTGCGTCGGTATCATGTCTCCCCTGGTCTATCCATCTCCTAATTTCGTAAGGTTTAGGCCTTCTAGATTCTCCACATAATACAGCCCTCTTAGCTCCGGTACTAGCTCGCTACGAATATTGGCAGTTTCCTCCAGTTTATTGGCATGTTCTATCCGGCGAGGGCTCCATGCTGGTGTTTCATCCATCAAGATGGTTTCATAGATGACATATTGGGTTCTTCAGTAATTGTATGTTGAGATTCTTGGAAGTTAATCTTAAGAGTAGACAAACGTGCGTTTGCTGCAGTGGTTACTGGATTGATTTTTATCTTGGGATAGACGCACAGTACTATGGCCAACCGTAATACCTTCTTAAATGAGTGCAGCTTGGTAAGTACACTTGAGATATACACACCCCTCAATGTATATAAGCTGAGATATACACATATCTATGTGTATATAGCCCTGTACGTTTCTAAGTAGCCCGGGATCTTAAGTTTATAAGATATGAGTTGACGTTATGGATGGCGAGCCAAGCATAGCGTAGTTAGGACGATGATTATAGTGGAAGAGGCTGGTTCAACCTTATGTTTGGTCTACATCACATTACCTGTAGTTAGGTTGTCACGCGCAGTTGCCACACAAACAGCAGACAGTTGTACAAGTGTAATACCTTTCATCGCCTCAGAATTATTACCTCCGTCTCATTTTATATTTAAATGTTATATGTTGCATGTATTTGCTTCACTCGTTGTTTTTTTTTGAAACTTTGCTTTACCATTTTGTATTAACATTATATTTAGGTAGCTAATTATCATATATTTTCTCCATTCTTTCAACAGTAGCAGCATACAAAAATGTGTCTCCATCTTATTTACGTTCCCTTTAACCTTCAGTGGAATTTATGTTTTGTTAGGCAGATGAACACAGGTGCAACTAATGTGATATTTTATTGTGTCAACGTTTCGCTCTCCAGAAGCTTTGTCAAGAAGAATTGACAAAGGGCCTGGAGAGCAAAACGTTGCCACAATAAAATGTCTCATTAGTTGCATCTGTGTCCATTTGCTTAACATTTAATTAATAATAATAATAATACATGTATCTTTATTTACTACAAGTACATGTACAAAGTATACAGTCCTAGCTGACAACAATGACATACTACTGTATAGAAAGTCCGCATTTCGGGCAAATTAGGTCAGTGTCCCAGGATGCGACCCACACCAGTCGACTAACACCCAGGTACCCATTTTATTGATGGGGAACATAGACAACAGGTGGAAAGAAACACGCCCAATGTTTCTACTCTGGCTGGGAATCGAACCCAGGCCCTCGCCGTGTGAAGCGAGAGCGTTAGCCACCAGGCCAGGTAATTGTACCATTATTACTAATTTGCATTTTATCCAACCAGTAATTAATCTACTCTCAATGTTTTGAATTTTTCTTCCTGGTGCATATTAAACCCTGAACGTATTTGTCAGTTTTTCCCTGTGATTTTTCTCAAACTTTAATATTTTTTTCCTGGTATTTTATTTTTTTTTATTCTCTTTTCATGGGATTTTCTTGTACACTTTGCAGATGACGCTGACTTTTCCAAGAATCGTTTCTTATATTGATTTTACTCTTTTTATATTTGTTCTCTGACATGATTACTTTTCTTTTGCATTTCAGCGGAGTTCTCGTGCACGTACGATGGTGAGTGTCCCTCTGATCGCTTCTGCCTGGGCGGGGTGTGTGTGGACCCGTGCCCCATCTTGACGCCGTGCCACGGGTCACTGCACGGGGGTGTCTGCGTCTCCAAGGACCATCGGCCTGTATGTGAGTGCCCACCCGGCACTCTGGCCAACTCCGAGGCCAACGTCTGCATCCCTTATAATGGCACCGTTACAGGTTGGTGTGTGTGTGTGTGTGTGTGTGTGTGTGTGTGTGGTGTGTGTGTGTGGTGTGTGTGTGTGTGTGTGTGTGTGTGAGGTGATCCTCCCTACAGTAGTTAGTTTGTTAGGTTTAAGGTCTTTTGGTTGCACGTGTATTATTAAGGTCCCAACATACCTATATACTAACCTCAAGAATGCTCTACTCTCAAGGGACTTCTCGGTACACACAACACACACACACACACACACACACACACACACACACACACCTTCAGAGAAGTAAATATGAAGAATAGTGGAAACTCATTTATGTTCTTAAGATTAAGCCTTAAACTAGAGGGAGTGACTTCTCTTTATTCTTACACCACGGAAGGTGTGTGTGTGTGTATGTGTGTTTGAGCACATGATGTGTGTATAAGTAAATGACATGTAAGCACATGTGTGTGTAAGTATATATGTGTGTAAGCATGTGTGTGTGTGTAAGCACATGGCAGCGCTCAGGTATTTATTTTTCCCCGTGGCATATTTTACATATTTAAAATCACACATTGTAGTGTGATTTCTTTACTTTCACAGATATACACTTCCGGGTATAATACTTTGTTACACCTCTCACTTATATACACAAATACACATTTCTGGGTGTAGGTGAACAAAATGTGTATAGTTACACATCGCAGTCTTAATTATAACTATAAAAAATACTTCGGTTTAGAGGGAGAAAAACAGGTGGGAGTGGGCGTTAAGCTCCGCAGGGGATGGCTAATGACTGGGTAGCTTGGTTGGTAGCGCACTCAGCTCACACACTGAGGTCCGTATCACGTCCATAGGTCTTTTAGTTGCACGTGATTCCTTAAGACACTTGCTGTCCCTGTTCACCTAGCAGCAGTTAGGTACCTGGGTGTTGGTAGACTGGTATGTGTCGCATCCTGGGGGGACAAAATTAACCTAATTTGCCCGAAAGCTCTGCATAACAAGGGGCTTTCTTTATAGTAGTATGTCATTGATGTCAGCTAGGCCTGCATACGTTGTACATGTACTTATAGAAATAGATTATTATTATTATTATTCTTGTTTCGCCAGTTTGCAGATAGAGGCGGTGGTGGATGGGTCATGAGAGGATGACTGGGGTATTGAGGGGACTGGGGACTACTTGGTGGGCAGGAAATAGAACAGGTCCTCCGGGTGGATGATCGTCGTTGTAATTTGTGATGGGAGGAAGTGTGTTAACGTGGGTAGCTTAACCTTGCACTCCTGATGTGCCCGAGGGAGGGGGAGGATGTTCAACCTCGCCCAGTGAGCGTGGGAGTGCACTCTAGGCTGGTTGCCATCAATGTCAGCTACAGGTGGTACAGTTTGGGATTATTGAGTTTCTTGCATGGGTTCAACGCTTCTTATATATAAAAAAACACAGAATGTGTGGGGTTTGAACCCATTTACTCTACATATTACTGCTGGGTTTAACCCCGGCTCTTTGTCGAGAGCTGAAGACGTTCCTCTCCAGAGCTACTCTTCGCCTGTCCCCACTTTCTCCCTCACCCCTTGCGGATCTTATCTGCGAGTCGAGTCGAAAGTCGAAAGTCTCTGCATATGACTGGCAGAGTGACTTAGTTATTTACGCTTCATAAAAGATATTACGAAGCAATAATGCGAAGGTGAAATGAAATTAAATCATATAGATTTACTTGAAAATTCTTGGTTTTTACAATAAGACTGAACATAATTATAGTTACTGAGCACAGCATCACTTTAGGATATCTAGATTTGTCTCGATTTATCGAATGTTTAGGACTTAGGCTGTCTACGTTTAAGGTTTTCTAAGGCTATCCAAGCCTTTCTAGGTCTGTCTAAGGCTGTCTGGATCATCGGGTGCGAGACTTGACTTATCTTACTGTGTTAATATTGACTACTTTTCTATGCAATTAAAAATAAGCACATGATAGCGTTGCCATGTAAACAGAGGTGTGTGTGTGACACACACACACACACACACATACACACACACACACACACACACACACACACACACACACACACACACACACACACACACACACACACACACACACACACACACACATTCCTGTGTGTATATATATTAAAACCACCCTCCAGAAATAAGAGAATTGTTGGCTAGAGCTTTTCAAAATTGCTAGGCACTCTTCATCAGTGTCAAATTAGGAAAAAAACCAGGAAAAATGCATGTTTTTTAAGTGAAGCTGAAGCGATCTTTAGAAGCTAATGCCATCCATTATACCATCTCTGGAGTCTTCTAGTATTCAATTTCAAATTGATTTTGGAATTTTTTGCTTCATATATTCTGATATATTTTGAATTTTGTGTGCATATATCTTCTTGCATGTACATTATCACTCCACTTTATTTTCTATTCACTCAGGAGAAGTGAGTTGGAGCCAAAGAACTGTAAGAATAAAATAATACCATTAAGAGTTATGTTTGTGTATGTACTTCCCAAGTTACCTTCATATGTCTGTATGTATGTTACCTTATTCTCAGTGTTAGTGGTAATTAAGTTCACTTTTGCTTTTGTCATCCAGCGATCCAGCTGCATTTCACAAATAACCCGTACATAAGAGAGAGAAGCTAATGACCACGTTTCGGCCCGACTTATAAATGGTCCAAGCCGGACCGAAACGTCGTCATAACCGGGTTATTTTTGTATTGTTCCAGTCACGGTATTGTGTTTTCTTTATGGACACAACTACTATATTGATAGTATCGACTATTGTATTGTATTAACCACCGCTACAGTTATTGGTAACCACTACAAATGCGATTTGCTCACCCCCAACAAATTGATCTAATTTAAACTGATACTGGATCATATATTATAGTGGTTAAATTGTCTTTGGCCGCGGCCTAGTGTTAATCTTGCTTCTGAGTTCTTTCGGCTTTTATGATTGCATGCTAGCAAACAGGTTTAGTAACGTACATTTATGGTATGGCTTGCTAAGGTACTTGTGACCTTTGTTTACAGTGTTGAAACTATGAATACAACCTGCATGCTGCTTGTGAATTTTGTGGCTTATGTAAGTTTCTCGCTTCCTTACACACGTTACTACATACTACTCTCTCTCTCTCTCTCTCTCTCTCTCTCTCTCTTCTCTCTCTCTCTCTTCTCTCTCTTCTTCTTCCCCTCATTCTATCTTCTTCTTTCTCCTCTCGCTCTTTTCTCTCTCGTCTCTTTACTCTCTCTCTTTGCTCTCTCTTTCCTCTTTCTGCTATATCACTCTCTCTCTTTATCTCTTCTCTTACTCTCTCCTTCCTCTCCTTCTCTCTCTCTCTCTCTCTCTCTCTCTTCTCTCTCTTCTCTCTCTCTCTCTCTCTCTTCTCTCTCTCTCTCTCTCTCTCTCTTCTCCTCTCTTTCTCTCTCTTCTCTCTCTCTCTCTCTCTCTCTCTCTCTCTCTCTCTCTCTCTCTCTCTCCTCTCTCTCTTCTCTCTCTCTTCTCTCTCTCTCTCATCACCCACATGGACGAGACGTGTTTATGCAGAAAGTAGAAGACAATCTTTATGCTAATAGACGGTAGAGGCGACCTTTATGTTGAACTAGACATTAAATACGACCTTTATGTTGAACTAGACATTAAATACGACCTTTGTTGAACTAGACATTAATACACCTTTTGAACTAGACATTAAATACGTACCTTTATGTTGAACTAGACATTAATACGACCTTTGTTGAACTAACATTAAATACGACCTTTATGTTGACTAGACATTATAAAACGACCTTATGTGAACGAGACATTAAATACGACCTTTATGTTGAACTAGACATTAAATACGACCTTTATGTTGAACTAGACATTAAATACGACCTTTATGTTGAACTAGACATTAAATACGACCTTTATGTTGAACTAGACATTAAATACGACCTTATGTTGAACTAGACATTAAATACGACCTTATGTTGAACTAGACATTAAATACGACCTTTATGTTGAACTAGACATTAAATACGACCTTCATGTTGAACTATACATTAAATACGACCTTTATGTTGAACTAGACATTAAATACGACTTTATGTTGAACTAAACATTAAATACGACCTTTATGTTGAACTAGACATTAAATACGACCTTTAGTTGAACTAGACATTAAATACACCTTCATGTTGAACTAGACATTAAATACGACCTTTATGTTGAACTAGACATTAAATACGACCTTTATGTTGAACTAGACATTAATGACTTATGTTGAACTAGACTTAATACGACCTTTATGTTGAACTAGACATTAAATACGACCTTTATGTTGAACTAGACATTAAATACGACCTTCATGTTGAACTAGACATTAAATACGACCTTTATGTTGAACTAGACATTAAATACGACTTTATGTTGAACTAAACATTAAATACGACCTTTATGTTGAACTAGACATTAAATACGACCTTTATGTTGAACTAGACATTAAATACGACCTTCATGTTGAACTAGACATTAAATACGACCTTTATGTTGAACTAGACATTAAATACGACCTTTATGTTGAACTAGACATTAAATACGACCTTTATGTTGAACTAGACATTAAATACGACCTTTATGTTGAACTAGACATTAAATACGACCTTTATGTTGAACTAGACATTAAATACGACCTTTATGTTGAACTAGACATTAAATACGACCTTTATGTTGAATTAGACATTAAATACGACCTTTATGTTGAACTAGACATTAAATACGACCTTTATGTTGAACTAGACATTAAATACGACCTTTATGTTGAACTAGACATTAAATACGACCTTCATGTTGAACTAGACATTAAATACGACCTTTATGTTGAACTAGACATTAAATACGACCTTTATGTTGAACTAGACATTAAATACGACCTTTATGTTGAACTAGACATTAAATACGACCTTTATGTTGAACTAGACATTAAATACGACCTTTATGTTGAACTAGACATTAAATACGACCTTCATGTTGAACTAGACATTAAATACGACCGTTATGTTGAACTAGACATTAAATACGACCTTTATGTTGAACTAGACATTAAATACGACCTTTATGTTGAACTAGACATTAAATACGACCTTTATGTTGAACTAGACATTAAATACGACCTTTATGTTGAACTAGACATTAAATACGACCTTTATGTTGAACTAGACATTAAATACGACCTTTATGTTGAACTAGACATTAAATACGACCTTTTTGTTGAACTAGACATTAAATACGACCTTTATGTTGAACTAGACATTAAATACGACCTTTATGTTGAACTAGACATTAAATACGACCTTCATGTTGAACGAGACATTAAATACGACCTTTATGTTGAACTAGACATTAAATACGACCTTTATGTTGAACTAGACATTAAATACGACCTTTATGTTGAAATAGACATTAAATACGACCTTTATGTTGAACTAGACATTAAATACGACCTTCATGTTGAACTAGACATTAAATACGACCTTTATGTTGAACTAGACATTAAATACGACCTTTATGTTGAACTAGACATTAAATAAGACCTTTATGTTGAAATAGACATTAAATATGACCTTTATGTTGAACTAGACATTAAATACGACCTTTATGTTGAACTAGACATTAAATACGACCTTTATGTTGAATTAGACATTAAATACGACCTTTATGTTGAACTAGACATTAAATACGACCTTTATGTTGAACTAGACATTAAATACGACCTTTGTTGAACTAGACATTAAATACGACCTTCATGTTGAACTAGACATTAAATACGACCTTTATGTTGAACTAGACATTAAATACGACCTTTATGTTGAACTAGACATTAAATACGACCTTTATGTTGAACTAGACATTAAATACGACCTTTATGTTGAACTAGACATTAAATACGACCTTCATGTTCAACTAGACATTAAATACGACCTTTATGTTGAACTAGACATTAAATACGACCTTTATGTTGAACTAGACATTAAATACGACCTTTATGTTGAACTAGACATTAAATACGACCTTTATGTTGAACTAGACATTAAATACGACCTTTATGTTGAACTAGACATTAAATACGACCTTTATGTTGAACTAGACATTAAATACGACCTTTATGTTGAACTAGACATTAAATACGACCTTTATGTTGAACTAGACATTAAATACGACCTTTATGTTGAACTAGACATTAAATACGACCTTTATGTTGAACCAGACATTAAATACGACCTTTATGTTGAACCAGACATTAAATACGACCTTTATGTTGAACCAGACATTAAATACGACCTTTATGTTGAACCAGACATTAAATACGACCTTTATGTTGAACCAGACATTAAATACGACCTTTATGTTGAACCAGACATTAAATACGACCTTTATGTTGAACTAGACATTAAATACGACCTTTATGTTGAACCAGACATTAAATACGACCTTTATGTTGAACCAGACATTAAATACGACCTTTATGTTGTACCATACATTAAATACGACCTTTATGTTGAACCAGACATTAAATACGACCTTTATGCTGAACCAGACATTAAATACGACCTTTATGTTGAACCAGACATTCAATACGACCTTTATGTTGAACCAGACATTAAATACGACCTTTATGTTGAACTAGGCATTAAATACGACCTTTATGTTGAATTAGACATTAAATACGACCTTTATGTTGAACTAGACATTAAATACGACCTTTATGTTGAACTAGACATTAAATACGACCTTTATGTTGAACTAGACATTAAATACTACCTTTATTTTGAACTAGACATTAAATACCACCTTTTTGTTGAACTAGACATTAAATACGACCTTTATGTTGAAGTAGACATTAAATACGACCTTTATGTTGAACTAGACATTAAATACGACCTTTATGTTGAAGTAGACCTTAGATACGACTTATACGTTGAAGCAAATATTAGATACAACCTTTATGTTGAAGCAGACCTTAGATACGACCTACATGTTGAAGCAGACAGTAGATACGACCTATATGTTGAAGTAGACCTTAGATACGACCTACATGTTGAAGCAGACAGTAGATACGACCTATATGTTGAAGCAGATAATAGATGCACCTTTATGTTGATGCAGAGATTAAAGGCGACATTGTCGTAAAGCAGGTGTGGCTGCAGACAGTAGTAGAAGCTAAGTTTGTGTTGAAGCAGCGTGTGTTGCTTGCCTTGCCACACGCATCTCACCCCGCCCAGCCTGTCCTCATAGCCTCTAATGCCACTTCATACAGTACCATCACCACATTCGGCACACCATCCAAATTTTTATCAAGTGAATCGCACACAAAACAGTAAATCTCTTAATAGAAAACAGGGGACATGAAAAATACACAAAGGAGGAAATTTTGAGCATCAAACTAAAGATGTGCAATTAAGAGGTCTTACAATGACTGGCTAAATGAGCTGACCTGGTTGATTAATAATGGAGGTGTTGGCCGGGCGGAGGGCGAGGAGCTCAACCGACCAAAAGAAAAACATGGTGAAAGCATCTAGCTGTAGAACTGTGCTTAAGTATGGAAGTTGTGTACCCTGCTGAAGTTGTGTATCATGTAGTGAATGTTCTTATTGAGTAGTGGTACTGTGACTGCTGGAATCCCTCCCTCCAGCGATACTTACTAAAGTAGACGGTACTAGTGTAGAAAACTTCACAACAGAAGCTAGAGGACTTACGCATGTGACTGTGTTGTACACTGCTTCACAATAACGGTTATAATATACCATAAACCATTTTTATTTATAAACGTTTTAACCATGTTGATCCACGAATAAATTATAATGGGCTGTTTAATCCCCAGCTTCACCAGCTCCGCGATTATTGTTATTCTTAACTTTGTGTCCTCACTCACAGCTTCACGTAAGTGCAGTTTAACATACTAATGACGCCAAGTTATTTCAATGCTCACTCATACCAGATATGGCTCACACCTGAGGTTTTTCTTATTGCTGCATTACGGCCACCTTACCTCTATGAGCCAGCAGTAGTGACCAGCACAGCTGTGCTCTTCTTCAGGATGTGAGCATGAGGGACGTCTCTACTCTGATGGTGAAGTCCGCTACACCGGCAAGTGCCAGGAGCAGTGTCGCTGTGGCCCCGACGGCACTTTCTCATGTGGTCCTGTCCTTTGTCCTGCTGGGTTATTCCTAGCTGGCCAACATTCCCAGCAAGAGTTGTGTATTGAGTTGCGAAACCGACCAGAGACTGACGAGTGCTGTGTTGTTGTGGCGTGCGCTAACAGCCTAGCGCGGCCTTCCTTGCTCACTGCCCCAGTCTTTACTCGTCCAGGTGTCTCAGAAGACGAGCACCTTGATGATCAACAGGTGCAGCAGCTGAGAGGGCGCATGGTGGGTCCTGAGCCTCTGCCACCAATCACCGAAGAGGATTATCAAAGAAGACTCAAACAGCTCGAAGAAGAATTGAGCAAGAAAAACGAAAAGAAGAAAATAACTGATGTCAAGAGCATAGAAAAGTCGAAACACTTGATAAACAATGATACCGCTGTTTCTGATGATACTAGAAATGTAACGGTAGTTGAAGTAGTGACAGAATTAAGTATAGTTAGACAAGAGGAAAATGTTACATCGAGACCTGAGGAAGTTGAAGAATCAGTTCCTGAGATTGTGGACGAGGTGACAGAAGCGGAAGGACTTTCCACGATGATGCCGATGACGGAGGACGATGAGCAGTTGAAGGACGTAGAAGAGCCCGCAGTGGTAGTGGAGTACGACGACTCTGGAGACTTGCTACACCGTATCACCATCAAGGAACATGTGGAGGTGGTCACCCAGTCACACCTTGTGGAAGATGAGACAGCCACACTACTTCCTCACATGATCCAGCACATAGAGGAGGTCTCACAGCCACAGCCAGTGGAAGATGAGACAACCACACTACTACCTCTCACACTCCAGAATGCAGAGGTCTCTCAGCCATACCTTGTGGAAGACGAGACAACCACACTATTACCTCACACAATCCAGCACGTTGAGGTCTCCCAGCCACACTTAGTGGAAGAGGAGACAGCCACAGACCCCACACCACTTCCTCGGGAGGAGGGGGAGGACTTGAGTTTAGCAAGAGAAGGCAAGAAAGTTCCAGGTAAGATCACGAAATCCAAGTTCCAGCGACCACCTGCACCAGTACCTCATGACATGCAAAATAGCGATGCTAAATATTTAATGATGACACCTCAAAATCATTCGTATATACGAGTACTACACAGTAACCGATACACAGTAATAATATTAGAAACTACTACTTATTAAGTCACACACTAAATTAATACGGTGAAGAACTAATGACTTCTGAGCACAATCGCACCACTGGCACAAGACCCTTATCACCTATTTTAGTTATCAGCACTCACACCCTCCCCACATGCACTCTAACAACACGTCCTGTAAAATGTAAGAATTCGCTCTTATTGACATTTTTTGTTTCTTCACCGACAATACGACTTAGGTTTTTGGACATTGTCTTCCTGTCATCTCCGTATGATAAGACTAACCTTGAATGGTCTGTCCTCTTTCAGGAAACTTTCATGAAACATAGGTATCTGTTTATTATTGCACAGTATGCCGCACTAAAACCTGTATGTAATATATATATATATATATATATATATATATATATATATATATATATATATATATATATATTATATATATATATATATATATATATATTACAATTCTCATTTGTCTTTTATTAATATCTGAATACCCCACATGGGTTTAGCTCTTCAAGTGAATTAAACAGAATTATATTAATATCTGCCTTTATGTTTTGGTGATTAAATTCTGCCACGTTTCCAAGCTAGTTTTAATCTTGTTTCTCCCTCCTACCTGCCGCAGAAGACACCAATGTGACCCAAATGGAGCAGCCCTCCACGGAGTCCCCAAAGGTGAGCACGCTCGTTCTCAGGGTTTTCTCTCAGGATCTCTTGTTCGTAATGTGTGCTTTCCTCGCGAGGCCTTGCAGCATGTATTATTACTTTGAAATAAACAGAGACGGTCAAAGACTGGACCGCTATTGGCGAAAGGAGGATCGAGCCTCCACCGCTCCTTGCGTAGAATGGTATATGGGTTTATTGCTTTATGAAATTCAGTGCAATACCACGATTTGACTGTGACTTGTGGTATGCTTAAAAATATTGTGATTGTTATTGTATTATTATTCTTATATTCACAAAAAAAAAAAAACACTAAAGACGTGTACTAATTAGTCCATAAGAATATAACAGTGATTGCTACAAATTACTATCAATAAGAATTGTTTATTTTTCCAGTGAATGAGAGTAGTGTAGGTAGGAGGCTCTTTCCATCAAGGAGCATTTTCACGTAGATTCCTGCTCAGTTATTCGTAAGGGATTTCAGTTCCCTAGAATTTGGGAAACCTCCGTTAATATTATAGGATTTTTTTTATTTTCTTTGCAGTGCAGTGATAAGACTTGTATAAAAAAGTTCAGCTATATCTTTAGTGGATATTTGAAAATCAAGCGACATTAACTTATATACTGTTTGCTCCTCTCTCGAAAATTGTGAAGGCAGATACTGTATATTCATTATTCAAGTCTTATCCATTATGTTATTACTTAAACGTGATTTTATGAAAAAAAGACGATGACCGTGGCGTGATTGTTTGGGTGCCATATACAGTCTGAGTGTGTGGGCTACATGTAAGTTAATGTGTAGATGTGTACCGCTCATAACATTAGTATGTCAAGTAGTGTTGAATGGGCTAGTATCAAAATGCGACGTACTGTACATTTGAGCACTGTTGTAAATTTAATTGTGTGGTATTGTGCATACTTATATGTTACAATGCACACGTAAATGTAGTAGAGTTTATGTAAGTGTGAGTGCGAGGAAGTCTTCTAGCGACCATGGCCTCTAACCTGCGACAATACTGTACACGCAGGCAGAGTCCAAGGGCGGGAGTGGATCGTTGAAGGTGGTGGAAGTGACTCGTAGCTCCGCCACAGTCCTACTTCCCTCCAGCAAGGGCGGCGAGGTCTATTACAAGGTGAGATGTTCATTGATGTTATTAATGCTCATTATTTAGAGTTTGCTTTTATTTCTGTAATTACAAAATTTTCAGGTATTACAGTGAATAATATAAAATCAGGTTTAATATTTCAGTTTCTCTGATTATTAATTATTCGACTCACAGAAACTGCTGAACCTGTATTTTTCTGAGATGCCTTTCTTGCAATATTACCTTAATATGTGTTGTGGTGTCCCATAGGCAGCTGAGAGCTCTGAGTGGCAGAGAGAGGTAGTTGAGGGCGGGCAGGACTCCCTGGTACTCAGGGACCTGCTTCCCAGCACTCAGTACGCTCTCAAGTGGTCTGGCGTCTCAGGAGGCTCAGCTAAAACCACCTTCGATACTCCAGGCAAGTTACGCCACTCTTTTTTCTTTCGATAGATACTTTATAGTTGCTTTAGTTAAAAAAAAAATTCTGTTGCTGTATGTGTTACATCACGCCAAAGAATTCTCCCTCTCCCCCTTTTTAAATATTCGATAGTTTGATACTCTGTGGCTTAATTACCGGAAGATTTTCTATTTGTTTTCCCATCACCTCCAAGCTAATCACTAAGAGTAATTAGATTGAAACTTAATCTTCGCATATTAGGCTACAAAATTGGTGTGCAGAGTCAGGTGAGATTTAACGACGTTATATTTTATTTGATGTTATTCGTATTTTACATTTTGGGAGTATATATCGATTGGGTGAAACTGCGTCGCATTTTCAGCAAGAGCTGTCAAATTTTTTGATAAAATTGAAAAGTAACGGAAAGAGTAGTTCAGAATAATGAAGAGGCGGGTGATTTTAGAGGCTCTTGTTTGTTTACTTTTTGTAATGAGGTGGAAGAGAAGGATGAATGTTTCTGATTCTGGTGCTGCAACTCAATTTTTGGATAAATATATGGCACTCAAGTGCGTATTTGTAAAGTTTATATGTGCTTAATGCTGCTGTTGTTACGTGAATTCAAAATATTCTTGCATTACACGTACCTGTCGACTGATGTTGACGCACGATGCCCCATCCAAGTCTATTTTCAGGAGTGATGAAAGGATTTCTGAATACAGTGGTTTAGCGTCTGAAAATATGAATTTGTTACTTGTGGTCAGCATGTCAAGGTAAAAAGCGCGGTGGTGGTGGGAGAATGGCGGCGTCATATCCTGTGTAACATCTTCGTATATGAGCGACTTTGGCGGCCACAAGGTCGTCGCCAGACCATGAAATTATACCACTTAAACTTCTAGCTAAGTTGCGCTCTCACGGTACCTGTTTGTATTGTACTGCTCCTCTGTGCTTTTTTCACGTTGATGTGTTGATAGGTAATTTTATCTAAGATAGTTCCTTTTACATGCGTTGTGTCGCAACTTTAGTGGAGTCAGTACATTTTCTCCGAGTTAGTTACTTGGGTCAAGGATTATTCTTCTGCTATTTCATTGGGCGTCTTTTTCAGGATAGTACCTCAGTTGTTCCATGATTGGTCACCTTGATTAGGACGGTAAGTTGATTGGTGCCCTTGGTCAGGATAGTACTTCAGGTTCGCCTAGTGATGAACCTACTTTCTCCTTAAGTTTGTTGGTTACCTTTTTCTTGTAGAGTTGCTCAAAACTTTGCATCTTTAACGTTTATGTTTGTTGCTCGTCCTTCAAAAGTTTTTTCATGGCACAGGATGTCAATAATGCGTTTTTCAACATTTAATTTTTAAATAGGAAAGTTTTTAATTGTTGTTAACAATTCCGTGGGTCGTAGCCGTGAGGATGAACAAGCGATTATTGCACATAATAAGAATCTCATTAATTTGTTAAGCTGAAAGTCTATCGACCTCATGAAGGTATAATTAAGGCTGCTTCTGACCTTTGTGTTTACACACCAATAAAAAAAATCTCTTAATACCTAAAATGGGGATTCAAGCAAACTACGCATGCCAACGTATACACCACTCGGTGTATATTATGTACTGATACTGTGCAGCAGATGTATTTGATATTAGATTTTAGAGCAAGGGAAAATAAGCAAGAGAATACATTTTTTTAAAGAATGATAACAAATAAGAAGAAAGGAACGAGAATGAAATGCAATCATGGTTAAGTAATTTGAATGGTGTTACAGTAATTAAGTGAATGATAGGGCTTGTAAAATTAGCCATAGCAGGGTGTGTGTAACAGAGAGTGAGTTCACCATCACTGGCCCCCAAATAGTGCACTTAAGAACATGAACATCAAAATGGTATACAATACCGACAGGTTGGTAGATAAGACACGTAAGCAACAGTTAGGCAACTTTATTCCGAAACGTTTCGCCTACACAGTAGGCTTCTTCAGTCGAGTACAGAAAGTAGGCAGGAACAGTAGAGATGTGAAGACGATGTAATCAGTCCATCACCCTTGAAGTCGTAGAATTTGAGGTTGTCAGTCCCTCAGCCTGGAGAAGTTCAGTTCCATAGTCAAGAACTATGGAACTGAACTTCTCCAGGCTGAGGGACTGACAACCTCAAATTCTACGACTTCAAGGGTGATGGACTGATTACATCGTCTTCACATCTCTACTGTTCCTGCCTACTTTCTGTACTCGACTGAAGAAGCCTACTGTGTAGGCGAAACGTTTCGGAATAAAGTTGACTAACTGTTGCTTACGTGTCTAACCACTTTAGAACATAACCTGTGGCTGCGGTTGTGACATCATACCTTGGCGGGACATTACCCAGCGTGATGGCTGCAAGTGTTCTAGTCTGTCATTACCATCTTAAATTAGGCAAGTACCAGTCACCGCACTTCATTCCACAGCACCTGTGAGTTTTAAAATTTTTTAACATGGGTCTTTTATTTGTTCTTCTCACGTGCGGTTTAGCGCTCCCCAGTGATTATAATATTAACAATCTTCTCATGTGCATCTTTATCCTTCAATAACTAATAAAATAACTTGACAAATCCCTACCTAGTTTTTACACACGTTTCGTAAAACCTGATGGAGACGCGAGATATTGCGTTGGAAGAACCCTTCGACAATGTTTTATGTTTAAATCGTATTTACTCATATACAAGTCATATAGTGAATCACTCAGTAACTGAAGGCAGATAAGTGTTCCTTAACAACTAACATTACCAAGGTTACTTTGCCATACTTTCGTCACGTTCGGTCAGCTAGGTTGGGTTTATTTGTCGGTGGTGTTTGTCTTACCTTTACAAGAATTAAGTAAACACAGTGTTCGTGTGTGTGTGTGAGAGAGAGAGAGAGAGAGAGAGAGAGAGAGAGAGAGAGAGAGAGAGAGAGAGAGAGAGAGAGAGAGAGAGAGAGAGAGAGAGAGAGAGAGAGAGAGAGAGAGAGAGTGTGAGTGGTGTTTAAATAGGTTGTTTCATTCACATTCACGATATTGTGAAATCTTAGTTTACATTGACAAAAGTAAAAGGTATACGAACGAATCTTAACCCTAAGCAGAATTGTGGTAGGTATTCTTTGTATAATAGTTGATTTGGGGTAACACTGAGGTTTATCATGACAGAATAACTAAGTAGAAATCTCCGTTGCATTGCCTGTGATATTGTGGTGTAGTGGTAGGAGTGAGGGCATGCTATCTGGTTAGCCCTTACTCGAGCGCACATGGCACCGTACTTCCACAGTGCTTCACTCATACACGGGTAGGTGGAGAAGAGAGTGGTCTGACTAACGAAGATTGAGGTACACTAAGCTAAATTCATTGGACAAACAGTGTCAGGCACCACCCATCATTACTCACCTCCCTCCGTTACTCCTCGAATACACACCTTTCTTTTACCGTAGCCATCTTTGGACTGGAGGGGTACAGAGGTGTACTCACCCAGTTGGGTGCGCAGGGATCAATTCATAGTTCGTTGCCCTGCCTCTTAGCCCTTAACATAAGAAAGAGCACTGCAGCAGGCCTGCTGGCCCATGCTAGGCAGGTCCAAGTCACACTCATTCATGTGCTTGTCTTATCTATTTTTAAAGCTACCTATCCTTGTTGACCGATGTCACTGATTTCTGACATCCAGGGACCCATCTTATTACTCTTAAAGTTGTGTAGTGTTTGCCTCCCACACCTAACTAGTGTGTTTTGCTTATTCATTAAGCTAAAACTAAAAAGTATTTACTAAAAACCCTATAGTTCATCTTAAGTAGCTGTATTACTAATAAGCTTTTACGCTATTTTAACAATAATAATAAATTATTATAATTATTTTATTATTATGGTTATCAATTATTATTATTTTATTATTTTTTACTGAAACTATTAAAATAAAATTTGCAAAAAAAGTCAGAGTGTGGCATGTGCACCTTGAGTTTGGAGTGGTGTAGTTAACAAGTGATTTTCTTGGGCTCAGGATTGTACTGTTTTAACACCAAGAGGTGAGATATTAGCCTTCACCCATACATATACGAGGCAGGTACAGTAACATCTTGCTCAGAAAACTCCAAGGAGATGCCAACCACGTTTTCACTTTCTCGCACATTCAGTTGTGATTCAGTGAGGTTAAGTTAGGTAAGGCTTGTCAAGAAACGGGAAAAGCATTTCTTCACGCGGGTCTAAGTCATATGATGACCCACAGCTGAAGCTTTTGGTCATCCGACCGAGGCCTTCCACTGGCTTACCGGTCCACCCCTTAAAAAATTATGGTTTACCTGGAGTTTACCTGGAGAGAGTTCCGGGGGTCAACGCCCCCGCGGCCCGGTCTGTGACCAGGCCTCCTGGTGGATCAGAGCCTGATCAACCAGGCTGTTGCTGCTGGCTGCACGTAAACCAAACCAACGTACGAGCCACAGCCCGGCTGATCAGGAACCGACTTTAGGTGCTTGTCCAGTGCCAGCTTGAAGACTGCCAGGGGTCTGTTGGTAATCCCCCTTATGTGTGCTGGGAGGCAGTTGAACAGTCTCGGGCCCCTGACACTTATTGTATGGTCTCTTAACGTGCTAGTGACACCCCTGCTTTTCATTGGGGGGATGTTGCATCGTCTGCCAAGTCTTTTGCTTTCGTAGTGAGTGATTTTCGTGTGCAAGTTCGGTACTAGTCCCTCTAGGATTTTCCAGGTGTATATAATCATGTATCTCTCCCGCCTGCGTTCCAGGGAATACAGGTTTAGGAACCTCAAGCGCTCCCAGTAATTGAGTTGTTTTATCTCCGTTATGCGCGCCGTGAAGGTTCTCTGTACATTTTCTAGGTCAGCAATTTCACCTGCCTTGAAAGGTGCTGTTAGTGTGCAGCAATATTCCAGCCTAGATAGAACAAGTGACCTGAAGAGTGTGATCATGGGCTTGGCCTCCCTAGTTTTGAAGGTTCTCATTATCCATCCTGTCATTTTTCTAGCAGATGCGATTGATACAATGTTATGGTCCTTGAAGGTGAGATCCTCCGACATGAT